AGGTATTCGGCCAATCATAACGCACTGGATAGCTGGCCAATCAGCGTTTCAGAAAGGCGGGGCATAGAGGAGAAACAATAATGTACATTGTGGAAAATAATGTGTTTTTTGAACCTTAAACCACATAAACACATTGCATTACACCAAATACACAACATAATGTTCTTTTTAGCAGCATCATATGACCCCTTTAATATGACACTTAACAGTTCAATATAGTGACTTGCAAATGACAAAAATATAAATAGAAAAGTAAGAATTACCCATTTTCAGATGTGTTTCTTAACTGTTCAAGGGGAATTGGTTACAGTTGTACAGGTTTTGGCCCTTTTTGTTCTTTCTTTAATAGTCCATTAATGAAAAAAACAAACAAAACAAAAACGTATGTTGAAAAATTTATAAAGTAAATTAGAACATAATGTGTAAGATAAGATATGTAGATAAATAATTAATGCATCAACAGCCATTTGCTCACATTACTAATTAGACTATTATTCTTATTATTACTTGAATGAATGCATGAATGATTGTTTATTCAGATATCCAATTTTCCTTAAAGAATAAAACTATACACGTGCATATTTAGTTCTATTCTATGTTTATAATTTCTTTCTACGTAACTTCTTATTGCATCAGATGTGTGATTGACACGTTTTTTAATCTATTGAAAGTTATGTGACGCATACAGCAGGCAGCATCATGAATCAGGAGTGTTTGCAGTTGAACGCAGCTTTAATGAGCTCATGAAATGATATGACTGTCTCTCAGAGCCCATTATGAAGGAGTGCTCGTTATTTTCATTGTCTCTTATTATGTAACACTTTATTATTTGTTTTGCCATTGAAAAGGTGTTCGGTGTTAATGAAAATAAATAAGAACATTTCATTTATTGATTATCTTCCTCATGGATCTCCAGTGCTGACATTACTGAGCTACATGTACTTTTGAATACTTTATCAGAGTAAAATTGCTATATTTTTCAGATAATCAACCACATTTATGCTGCATCTTCTGAAAAACAATATAAATGACATTTCCGATCTTGGTTAGATTTATTCTGTGCCCATTATAGTGAAATATGAATACTATATATTATCCTTTATTTTTTATATTATACAGTTGTTATGCAGAGCCCAGTGTATAGCTGCCCAAATAACTGTACAATAGCAGCACAACTAATTTGTCTCAATTGGTAACAGTGGCATCTGCTGTGTTGGAGGCAGGACTTCAGTTCCCTGCATGCACCACAGCATGAATAAATAAAGCAATAAACCCCAAGAAGCCGTGGTTTACAGTGAATTTATAACAGCTAAGGGGCTTTGTTAGGCATGACGCGAAGCCGTCTTAGCTTAGCTGTTATAAATTCACTGTAAACCACGGCTTCACGGGGTTTATTGCTTTTATAAAACGGTTATTCCATATACGTAGTAAGGTTTCACAAAATGAAATGGAGCAAATAAAGTGTAATGATAATAATAAAAACATTATTCTTTCGCCAAACAATGTAGTTCCTCAGAAACGGTTGTTGTTCCAACAAAGTGGTTGCCGAGCAACACACAAATTAGTGCTGGGCGGTATGACCAAAAATTTATATCACGGTATTTTTCAAAAATTATACCGGTTTCACGGTACATGACGGCATTTTTTTCATGCATGACCAGGTGTTAACCATATTTTCCACTGATTGAGAGAGGAAATACTGCAGTATATTGACTTAGAATGCCCTATTTTACTGTCATGATGAGTGAATATTGTCAAAAAATACCACACTAAATAGTGACTAAACACGACCCCTTTTAATACATGTTAACCAGGAGTCACTCATTTATAATCGCGGCCTCGTCTGATAAAATCAACATGCATCTGACCCCTTTCAAACAGTGTCGCGTTCCAAACGTTGTTTAAGTGACATACACCGGTATTTAAAAAATTCATATCATAACAAAAATAAACACCGGTATTCGGTATGAACCGGTATACTGCCCAGCACTAACACAAATGTAAACAAACGTGTATGTTTGTAATTTACAACAGCTTCGAACTTGGCTCAACCAATCAGAATCAGGGACCGGAACTATCCGTTTTATAATCATGCAATGTACAGCTCAGTGTTTTATCTATTGACTGAATAGTATGTGTATCAGTATCAGACACTATCAGTGTAGTGTGATTCTAAAATAAATAACTTATTTAATTTTTTTGTATTATATATTCTTTTTTGGATTTTTGCCTTTATTAAATTAGATATTAAATAATAAAACATATACGTTTTATTTTAGCATTTATAGTTGTCGTTTTTTTTTTATTTATAGTTTTTTTTTTTTTTGGACAGACTTTCACTTAGCAATTAACAGATAAAAAATGTAAACGACCATATACAAGGTTGGGGTCAGTAAGATTATTAACGCTGCATTTATTTGATAAAAAAAATACAGTACAAATTGTGAAAAAGTATTACAATTTAAAATAGCTGTTTTCTATTTTGATATATTTTAAAATGTAATTTCTTTCTGTGATGGAAGCTGAATTTTCAGCAGCCATTACTCCAGTCTTAAGTGTCACATGACCCTTCAGAAATAATTCTAATATGCTGATTTGGTGC